CTGGCCTTGGGCAGCTGCGCCCGCGTCGTGGTGCCCGGTGCCTGTGCCCTGTCAGGAAGCTTCTTTCCCTCCCAGGGAGGGAGAACTACTTCCCTCCCCTCCAAGCCCATCAATTCACTACACACACGTTTGCGCCATGATGCTGCCAAAGCCAGAGAGCACACACCAAGCTTCTAAGCCACGGACTACATGAAGGAAAGCGCACATTTTGGGAATGAACTTAAAAATAGCTACCACCAGAGGCAGGAAACCAGAGAACCAAAAGAAGTATGCCAAATGGTTGAGGAAGTTATATTTCTGAATGTCTTTTCCTAAGTAATTAAAAAAATATCATGAATCAAATACAAACCTCCATCGGCCCACTGCACACCTCCCTGCGCGGGTCCCAGGGCGCCCGGAGCCTGCTGCCTCCCGCCCTCACTTCCGCCTCCGGCCCCCCAGCTCCAGGCCGCGCCGGCGTCACCGAGACGGGGGTGTCAGGCAGCGGGCGCGGGCACGACCGCCGAGCCCCCGTGCCAGGCCCAGGCTGCTCCCCGCACCTGCGCCACACTCGCCCTCGGGGGAGCCCTCGACGGCAAGCAACCCGCGTCGCACAGAAGTCTGTGTGCGCAGGCTCTCCCGGCTCCAACGTCAGCTACCCACGAAAGCCCTGAGCTACAGCGCAAGTCGGTTCACAGTATGAACACAAACAGGCTGTGCCGGCACCACCAGGAGTCACGAGCCCACGCAGTGAGTGCTGTGGGTGTGTGTACTGACACTCAGGTAGCATACACCCCAAAAACTAAAATGATGAGGCGGCTATCACGAGGCTGAAGCCTGAGCGCAGCCTCCCAGCAGCGGCCCGGACTGTGTCTCCTGGGCAGCGAGGCCCAGTGCTGCCCGTGGGCAGTGGGGAGGCCCTGACCGGGCAGGGTCCACCCTGCCACAGAGAAGCAGGCGCTGCACTGCCGTGTCACTCCTACACCACCGTCTCCTCGGCTCTTTTGAGTTTTTAGTCCTTTTACGCTAATGAAGCCTATTTACATTCTAGATCTTTCTCCTCCTCACAAGGTAACAGGACAGTATCCAAAGCAGGAATATGAAAGGAACTCTGGGTTCTTCAGCCACTACTGCTAAGACTCTCACAATAGTGAAAGAACACTGCCAATCACACCCAGCAGCCACACCTTCTTAATTATAAAAAAGGAGAGAAATAGTGAAAATGTGAAGTATTCAGCACAAAACTATTTTAGTACATGAAAGATCACACACTTGATACTGTTAAAATTGGGGAGATCGAAACACATCTCATTCAAACTGGTCCTATACGACGAAGGAAATGAACCAAACACACTAAGCACGAACCCAACTCTGAAGACGCTCTTCGTTCCGGGAGCCTCTGATCTTCACACGGCATCTCGACTCGAACTCTCACATCCCCAGAAGGTCGAGAAGGCTCAGAAAATGCCATTTTTCAAGTTTTCATTTGGAAAGAATAGTGCATGCATGTGCACGTCCTTGCCACCCTCCTCTCCAAGCCAAAGAGAAGGTCTAGCTAATGGGACACTTGGATGAAGACGAGACACGCATCGGTGTGGGTGCGTCAGCGGCTCATGGGTGACACAGGTGACGAAGGTGCCTGCTCGCCCAGCTACTTTAGTTTTTCAAGGATGAGGTGCCTGATCCCCTAGGGAGGTGTGAGTAGCAGGCACATCCTGGCTACCCCCAGGCCCTGGCTACGTGGAAAATGATAAAACCCAGAAGACTGCACCCACCGTTAATTCCTTCGGAGCCCTCTGCCTCCCCGCCTGCGAGTCTACAAAGAGCACTTGTCACTGGTAACGTCAGGCTGGAAAACACAGCAGTTCACACAGGTCATCGTGCCTCTTGCTGCTCACAGCCTCGGTTTGCAGAGCGGTGATGAACACAAGTCACACCGAGAGCGATCACAGAAGCAATGAAACGTGACCACAAGCTCTACGTAAGTTCTCTGGGTGACCAATGAGCAACCGAGAGACTCTCGGGGACAGTCGCCAGTTTCCCAGCCAACAGCAATGCTGGCGCCCAGGCAGACTGAAAGTTACAGGTGGAATATTTTTCTCACGCAAGTTCCAAATCGTCTGCACTCCCGTCGCGCAACCGCAGGCGGGCAGGGCCTCGTGCCGGCAGACCCCGGCCCGGGCGCTGGCCGTGGCTGCCCCAGACGCCTGAGGCGGTGGCGCGGGCACGGCTCTGACTCCTGCCAGCCCCCACGCGCGCTCGGCACCAAGAGGGGCGCAGGGCTCTCACCTTGATGGGGGGCTTCCGAGTGATATGGGAGACGAGGAAGTTCATGGCGATGTCCTCACAGTTGATGTACTCGTCCACCATGTCCCGGATGGCCTGGGGCATCACGTAGGAGTACAGGTAGGCGTAGTACTGTCAGGGCAGAGAAAGCCGCGTGCTGTTAGAGGCGCCGTGCTCTGGCATGCGTCCGGGCGCTGGCACTTCGGGGGAGCGGAGGGGCGGGCGTTCGGGGCATGGCAATCACTGAGGAGCACACAGGCGGCTGGGGTCACGCACTCCCCAGAAAGACTGTCCCAACACAACGCCCTCGTCAACCTCTGAGCGACGAGGAAAGAGCTGCCTTTTAAGGAACACGTGGACAAAGCACCATGAAAACAAACATGAGATGTGTCTCCACCAATTACGTGATGTCGCTGCCAAAACCACAGGAACTTTCCCATCTGACTGGAAAACACAGGAAACCCTCCGCAGCCCGTCCGAAAACCTTCGGGATGGAAAGTTCCCAAGGGCTCAGAACCCACTCGAAGATGTAGAACTGTTAACACCTCTCGCTAGTTTGCTCATGAAACGAAACAAAACAAAAAGCCCTGGTGGCATCACACACATGGAAATTCCTGTCCAATTCCAACAAACCTACCCCGCAGGGCGGCCGCCTAGCGAACACCAGCTGAGCTGCTCTCACAGGCGAACAAACAAGGCAAGTAAGGGGCTTAACAAGCAGGTGAAGAGAATAGAAGGCCAGGCACCTGAGCGCCCACTGCCCGAGGAGAGCCCGCGGGCCTGCGGCCAGTCGGGGCCAAGCAGGCGGCCCCCAGCCCGGCCCAAGCTCCACGTCCGGCGGGATGTGTAGTGATTTGTAAAACCTGGAAGCTCTGGAGCTCCACAACCCTCTGGCAAGCCCTGGAAGGCCTTCTCGTTGCCAATTTATAACCCATGCTCTGGATTTTCACACAGGATAAATCGTGGGCTTTTCGTCACTGAAAGTAAAGGGGTCCGACGAGCGTTAGCTTTTAAGGAGCCGCCAGAGCACTGGAGAAGGGGCTTCCAGAGGGCAAGTCGGCGCTCGAGGCCAGGCCCGCCGCTTGCACCGGCGGCTCTCTGGAGACCCCAGGAGATGGGGCCGCCCAGCCCAGCCAAGCCTGGAGAACGAGCGCGCGGAAGAGGTTCGAGAAGGGGTGGGCGTACCCGCGGCGCACACGGAAGTTTAGAAAGACTTCCTAAGAGCCACTGGAGTTGAATCACTCTTTAGGCTGTTTCAGAATGTCCCCAGAGATGACTTCCCAGGTTGCTCGCGGGCACTTGCAAGATCACCCTCTGGCAGATGGAGGCCAGGGAGAGACCCTGCGCCTGGGGAGGCAGGTTCAGTTCTGTCAGGAGAACCTGAGGGACACTGAAAACAAACCTCTGAGGACAGAGGTCAGGGACGGCCAAGGACTGACTGGCTTTCTGGTGAGCGGAGTAAGAACATCCGGGAGAACGACGAGGACGCAAGTGGAAGCGGGGCCTCGGCCACCAGGAGGACGGCCCCTCGTCCAGACTGGCAGGGGGTGGGGTGCAGGACCGGGCACGGCCTGGTGTCCTGCCCCTGGCGACAGTGAGAGAGCCAAGGGGGCTGGTGGGGCTGCCAGACAGGCGGCGTGTGCTTCAGAGGAGACGGTACAGCAGCTGTGGAGTGTCCCTGTGAAGTGAGCCCGATTCCAGCACAGATTTGGGGAAATGGGCAGCCTCAATCACAGTCCCTGGAAAACAAACACGCACGGGCTGAAGAGGAAGCAGTGTCCCCAGAAGAGAGCCAGGTGTCAGGCGGGGGCAGAGCCACACGCCGCGAGGGGCGGCAGGCGACCGGCTCGCCCAGAGCAAGAACTCTGTGCCCACAGGCAGGATGTGGGAGCTGAGGTGCAGTCAGAGTCCCGCAGAAGAGCAACCAGACCACTTAGCGGTCAGAACTTCCAGCAGCCACACTTCACAAAGGAATAAGAACTCCGGGGCAACATCTCACCGCCACAGGGGCTGGGCTCTTACCAGGACGTGTCTCACCTTGTGGAAGAAGGCAGCGCCCGTCAGCACCATGGACAGCTCACAGGAGTAGTTGGAGTTGTAGAGCCAGGACCGGTGAGGGGCGTCCCACGCATGGTAGCGGCCAGGGAAACCCACAATGCGGTCTCGCGCTTCTCTCCACACCCTTGAACACACAGGACACGCACACACCTGAGTGCAGGGCTCCGGGACCACCACCGGAGCCCCTGTCTTGGGCATCTTTGCCCCTCCTTTCTTCTCTGCAGGCTATTTTTGTGCCGATTTTTCCCCTCTGGCTACAATCCAAGAACCAATAATTGGAAAACACAAGAAAAAGAATGTGGCAACAACTAATAATCAGAGTGTGTAAAAACTACAAGGTGTGAGTTCGCCTCGCGAAGTGAGCAGTGGCCTCTGCCAAGCCTGTGATTGTGGTAGGAGGTAGATGGCCTTTAGGGAACCTGTACTGACGCATGGCGAAGGAGGAAGCTTTGTTAGCTCCCTCAGGAAAGAAAACCAACGCAGAGCCACAGCGTGTCCAAACAAGGGTGCACGACAGGTGGCCGAGGAGTTCAAAAGTTCCCGAGAACGGACGGACGCTCGGTCGAGGGGAGAAGCCTGCCTCCAGCCCGGGCCCCACACCACCTGAGCTAGCAGGGGCAAATCTTCTTCTGATCTGAAGTTTACTGCAATATAAACCACACACCATGAAATTCACTCACTTGGAAGTGTGCGGCATGCTAGGTTTCCCTATACTCACGGAGCTGTGCAACGGGTCACCGCTGCTGTCAGAATACCTGTACCCCAAAGACAAACGCGAGCCAGTACAGCCCTGTCCACCCTCCCCGCCTGCGACCACCACTGGGCTTAGCTCCATCTCCATGGACTGGCTCCTGTGGGCATCTCCGTCAGCACTATCAGCCGGAAGTGGGCTTGCTGAGGGGCTCGCTCACGCTCCCCACTTCCAGGCTGCCGTCCCCAAGTCCCACCCCCCAGGGTAGCGCGTCCCAGCACTCCCTTTCTTGTATGCCAGGTCACCCCTGGTGCGCACATAGCATGTGCTTGGCCACTCAGTGTGCACGGTGTCCGGGCCGCTGCCTGGCCCCTCAGTGTGC